TACCTGGTCGAGGTAAGTCCAAGTGACCTGTTGTGATCTCGATCGTTAAGCAGCAAGTTACTAGTAATGATACAGTAGCCGAAGACATGGCTTTGTATGGTTGTCGTTAACGTCAACGGCTTGGTTTCAGACATCTCCTAAGTCAAGAAAATCATTAAGTTGGATCAAGCTCAATTGGAAGTGAAACACTGAAAAAAGAAAAACGATTAATTATTTGGTACAACGGTGATGCATAAAAGCAATTTCTGAAAACATTCAGTCGTTCAGTGAGTATCAACAGAAATTCTTGCAATACCTAAGATGTTTTCGAGAATTTCCTGGAAATTTCTATCGAATCGCTATATAAGGGCATAATCCATTTGTATGAGCATACATAGGCGGCTCCCTCATCAAACCTATAGTCCGGACTGCCTCCCGTACTCGACAAGTACCTGTTCAAGAGTTCGAATCCAGCCACTCCGCCGCTGGAACTCATTGAAATTCGTGAAGAGTATTAGGCCTCGGAGCCTCTTCGCAGCGGTTCTAGGCACGCCTTGTTCCAACGCTTTAAAAACGGAAATAAGAAGCTCGAAGATGAGCTATGACCTGGTCAATGACTGCGGTATCATTGAGTATCGGCATATTGCATGGGCACACAAGTGAGGACGCCTTTTTCAAGTATTTGTGAGGAAGCTTACAGAAAATTCACATACTCCCTAAACATCCCACCGGTGGTTGGAAAACATAAATCTAATAATTATTAAAAGTAAAAGTTTAAGTTTGATCAATCCTGATCTGGGCCCATGTATTGGACTTACAATTAGAGGCACAGTTCGCGATGGTTTTGAGATACCCCTTTCAAGTTAAAAAACTACAGTGTTGGTAGAGAATAGTCAGCATCGGTGCTAAAGAAAGGAAGAAAACCGGTGTACTTCGCAAAAATAAGGTTTCTCAAAAATAGTGAAAATTGGGATTGTACGAGATTACCATGATGAAAATGTCATGAAAATGGGTATTTGGACGAGATTTAAAATGTTGCAATTGCATAAACTGTCTGACTAAATCAAGCCAAGTTTTCCAAAAAAGCTTTTCACTACTGCCATGTGTCACGACTAGTTATTTTAATTTCCAACAGTAGCCAGAGTATCCCTTGTGCATGGTGCAGCCTCTACAACGCCGTTGAAACTCGTACGCCATGGGTGGGTGTGGCACGCAGCCAATACAATATTTGAGCCCATGAAACGCCCTGTTAAAGCCGTTTTCCGATCTGGCAGCGCCGAATATGGTGAAGGAACGCCAAAGATACATTTGTAGGGAATATCTCAGAAACCATTCTCATTGTTAACTGTGCCTTTAAATCTACAATCACAGTTTTCAAAGCTTACTTGGGCTATAAAATGATTTTTGGAACCTGCCGAAGAACAAGTCCCAGATGAATCTGTTATTAAACAGTCGACACTGGATTGACAGAGCCGATTGGTTGGAAGAGGTAACTATACTAGACTTGATCCTGGCCCACACGTGCGGTAGTGGCGCTCTTGGTCCTGCCCCTATCTCTGAGAGAGACATAGGAATGGCGGAGTCTTGCCTTTGAATTTACAAAACTTCGACTAAGTAAATAGCCAACTTAAACCCTTCCAGCCCTCTGAAGAACCTTCCCTTGACGCCATATTGAAGTCGGTTCAACAACGGAAGGATTCAAAGTCGAAGTGGTCATTGATAATGACACCTATCCTGCTATACGTATTCCCGGTTGCTGGTTCTAAATCTGTTTTCCAAAATTTTAGTAAGATGAACTGTGACAGAGTAAACAACAGACTACTGTAGTTTATCGTTGTATACTTAGGCTGTTTACTACGATTTCATGGGAATGGTCATCTCGAAAGCTCGTTCTCGTGTGTTCTGTGTATATTGATTCAGTTAGATGACAATTCCAAATGAGTGGGTGCCGTTATCGACACGAGGATGGCGCTGATAAATCTTGGCTATTTTACCGACGAGTATGAGTCATATTCAGCTGATTGCTGCCTTCTTTCTTTTGCTCGTCATGTCGCAGAACTCAGAGGTAAGCAAAAACTGATTTTTAGCCGTAAACATAAGGCATATACTTCCTTTGCGCCTACCAACTCAGGTCGAAGTGAATCAATCCATTGCCCAGTTTACAATTCAGCCAAAATGATGCCAATTTTTGCAACACTTACGAGCCGATTTTTTTTTGTCAAGAAAGATCACATGTATTAGGTTGATGCATAATTATTGCGGA